AGTCAAATTGGATTGAATTACATGAATTTGGATTGTTCAGGGATCCAATTGTATTCTTTTTTAGTTCGATGACTCAATTGCAATGTGGTGCGGGCATGGTTATCTATGTTCTGGTTCCTTTTAATAAAGGTCTATGTTACCAGGTATCGGTAATAATGGTCTTCTTGACAATGTCCTTAAATTACTGAAAAGTCATGCGCAGTTGAGTGGTCTATTTGATCCTTATTCATTCTTTTAAATTTTCCTTTAGTTTGAACCATTGATCTAGATTAGATCAACAACTCAGATCTCATCCCATTTTCACCTGGGAGAACCATGCGTACACACACACACACACACACACACACACACATATATACATACATATATATATATATATATATATATATATATATATATATATATATATATATATATATGTATATATATATATATATACATATATATATATATATACATATATATATATATATACATATATATATATATATATATATATATATATATATATAGAGAGAGAGAGAGAGAGAGAGAAATGCAATATTTTTCATAAAAAAAAATAATAGTTTTTAATAAACATTTTTTTTTTGAAAACCAAAACTTCCGGATTGCATTAAATCATAGCAGCAGCAATAAAAGAAGGTAGCGAATCCCTCCAGACAATTCGTGTCTCTACCGCACTTACATGTTTAGCTAAAGCATGAGCTACCAAATTGGAGTCTCTGCGTACAAACTTAACAGAACAAGCAGGAAAAGAATTAATTAAACGCAAACACGAATCTAAAACAATTTCAAGATACGAACGATAAGAACCAGCATCCCGAAAACTAGCAACGAGAACCGCCGAGTCTGATAGGATCTGAACATTGTAGTAGTTATGCTCTTGCAACCACAAAAGGGCCTCCCATATCTCCATGGCTTCAGCTAAGAGGGGGTCATAAGGACAAGCAAGAAGTCCGCTAGCCGCTGCGACAAAAGCGCTATCCATTCTGCGCACGTAAAAACCGAACGTTGGGGAGCATTCCGGGTCCGAGAACCCAGCATCCGTGCTGCAGTACACCGTGTCCGTCGATGGTGGCAGTGGCGGAGCATGGCTCACTTCGGCAGGCAGTGTAGCTGTATCCAACACTGGGGTGGCAGCGTGTAGTCTTGCTTCGGACGCAGTCCAGGATGCCCAGGAGTTGTGGAACGCACGGCACAAATGCGAAGGAGATGGCATCGCGAAATCCCAGACAGCTATATTCCGAACCTTCCATAATTCGTAGAGTATTCCACAAATCTGATCTTTTAGATAAACAGCAGACGTTGCTGAGCCTCCCAACCAAACCTCCACCCACTGCATAAAATCATAATCAACAAAGTTAGGGATTTGGAGTTGTGAAACATTCCACACACGTCTAGCATAAGTGCAAGTGCATAAAATGTGGAAAACATCTTCTTCAAACAATCCACAAGCCGGGCAAATATTTGGGATCTCCACTCTTCTTCTAACTAAATTAGTAATGGTTGGTAAAATGTTCATGAGAGCTCTCCATAGAAAAACCCTCCATTTGGGGGGAACTTGCAATTTCCATATGTTATTCCAAACTGAGCCAGCTGGGGTATGAATTTCCCCTGGGCGCCTGTACCCATTTTTAACCGTATAAAGTCCCTTGAAGTCCCCCATCCAAAACCAATCATCCTTAAAATCCACACTCACCGGGGTTTGTAAAATTAAACTAGCGTCTCTGGGGGAAAATAGTTGTGCAATTAATTCCTGATTCCAATTCCCATGCTCCTGGTTAATCAAATCCGCCACCACCAATCCAGAATACTGGTCATTCTGATTCGAGAGCACAAAGGGATCCTGTGGGTCAGGTAACCAGGGGTGGGACCAAACTTTGGTGGTTCTTCCATTTCCAATTCTTCGCCTGCATCCATTGCGGATAAGTTCCTGGCTAGCCATTATACTCCTTCAAACATAACTCGGATTACCACCCAAAGTGGCCTCATAAAAAGTAGCATCAGGAAAATATCTTGCCTTAAAAACCCTGGCCATTAAAGATTACAGGTTGGTCAACAGACGCCATCCTTTCTTCCCCAACAGAGCCAAATTAAAGTCATGTAGACGTTTAAAACCCATACCACCATGCTTCTTCGGCACACACATCTTATCCCAGGCCATCCAATGAATACTATCCACAGTGTTGCTCTTACCCCACCAATACCTGTTCATTAATCTTTCCAGCGAAACACATAAAGTCACAGGTAGCAGGTATATACTCATAGTATAAGTAGGCATTGCCTGAGCAACACTTTTAAGCAAAACCTCCTTACCTGCCAATGAAAGCAGCCTCTTATTCCAGGAACCAAACCTCTGTCTTAACTTCTGTTCAACATATGAAAAAACAGCTTTTCTGTTCCTACCAATAACTGAAGGGAGACCCAAATATTTTCCGAAGTCATCAGCTTGTTCAACCCCCAGTCCCATAGCAATAGCATTCCTGACCCCCATACTAGTGTTGCGGCTAAAAGAGATACTGGATTTATGAAAGTTGACAGATTGCCCTGAAAACTGTTCATAAACCTCCAAACAACGCTTCACCTCCATGGATTCCTGCATGTTAGCCTTAAAGAAAAGCAAGCTATCGTCAGCGAAGAAAAGATGCGAGATGGGTGGTGCCCCACGTGCCACCCTACATCCATGGATCCGTCCTATAGCCTGAGCATCCTGTAACAACAAAGACAAACCCTCCGCACAGATAATAAACAGGTATGGGGAAAGTGGATCCCCCTGCCTTAAACCCCTAGACGGGATTATCTCATTACTCGGTTTCCCATTAACCAACACTCTGTACCTGACAGTCCGAACACAGAGCATGATTAACCTGACTCATTTCTCATCAAAACCCAGACCCAACAACATTCTTTCCACAAATGACCACTCCATCCGGTCATAAGCTTTCGCCATATCTAACTTCAGAGCCGCCCACCCCACCAGGCCCAACTACTTCCTCCTTAGATATTGACCTACCTCAGAAGCAATAAGGATATTGTTCGAGATAAGCCTACCCAGCAAAAAGGCGCTCTGTGACTCTGAAATAATGTTATCTAAGAGTGGTTTCATACGGTTAGCAATCATCTTAGCCATTATTTTATATACCACATTGCACAGAGAAATCGGCCTCAAATCAGCAACAACTTCAGGAGCCACCTTCTTGGGTATAAGCACAATATTCGCATCATTCAATTCTAAAGGAAACGACGATTGAGATAAACAATTAAGCACAAAGTCAGTAACATCCTTACCAACGAGATCCCAAAAAGCCTGATAGAAGCCTGGGTTCATGCCATCTGGCCCTGGCGATTTATCCTTCCCCATAGAGAACAGAGCCTGCTTCACTTCCGCTGGGTCAAAAGGACGGAGTAGCTCATCATTCTGCGCACGAGTCACCCGTGGTGCTAAGGATTCCACATGGAACACGCCCGCCTCACCACTCGTCTGAAAAATATGCTTGTAATAGTCCGTGACCAGGGAAACAAGACCATCGCCCTCCTTCCAAACCCCCTCCCCATCCTTCAGCTTCATAACAAAGTTTTTCCTCTTCCGGTGTGTGGCATATTGGTGGAAAAACTTTGTATTCCGATCAACTCCCTGTAACCAGTGTTGTTTGGCCCTTTGCTTCTAAAAAGCCTCCTCTTGTGTGAGAACAGTGCTCAAATGAGCATCAAGCTGCCTGAAACGACCCAAAGAGCTAGGATCCATAGTCCCTCTCAAGGCATTCATGTCACGCCTTATAGCCTCAATCCTGGAGCCAAATTTATGAAAATGCTCCCCACCCCATCTTTTCAATCCCTGCCCACACTTCCACAACCTCTCCTGAAACCCCATCCCTTGCGTGTTTGACCACTGATCCACCACCACCTCCCTATAGCCACTGTCCTCAAGCCACGCGTTCTCAAAACAAAAACCACGAGCCCGTCGTACAGACCCAGAGCCATAAACATCCAGAAAGAGAGCCGTATGATCCGACATCACAGTTCGGATGTTATATAACCTGGTGTTATTATGCATTCCCCTCCAAGCTACATCTCCCACCACCCTATCCAAACGCTCCTCAACCCAATTTGGAGTCCCCTTACCCCGTTCCCAAGTATAGGGGTATCCAATCATCGGAATAGTTGTCAAACCACAGTCATCAAGGGCCTCCCCGAACCCTTCCAACAAACCAGCTGGGTGTGGTCGTAGTCCCCTTTTCTCAGATTGGAATAAAAGATCATTGAAATCTCCCAAAACCACCCAAGGAAGTCCAGATGTGTCTTTAAGCGATCTTAATAAATCCCACGACTCCCTTCTCCTCGTACTTTGGGCAAAACCATAATAGCAAGTGAGCCTCCAGTGATGACGGTTTGGTAATGACACCACTAGATCGATATGATTATGAGAATACTTGATCAAACGAGCGCTATTATTCTTTGCCCATAGAAAACCCATGCCACCTTTCTGCCTCAAACTATCCACCCCAAAACCACCCTCAAAACCAATCCTCACACGGAGCCTCTCCACCATCGTCTCCATCAAGAACACAAAATCCGGTTTCTTTTTGGACACAAGGTCCACAATCTCCCGAACTGTCCGTGGATTGCCCAAGCCACGGCAGTTCCAACTAAGGATACTCATTGGGAAGGGCGGGCCTGATCCACAGGTCCCGCAAAACAAGAAGAATCAGAATCAACCAGCATCACACCCTCCTCCATCACCACTCCCCCCGTGACCTCCCTCACCTCACCCCGCCTCCTTTTCGGATCAACCCGCAGCCCCTCCTCCCCCTCATCCCGAATCCCCTCCCTGTACACCGCCGAGACCGGCCTGTACACACTGGCCGAACCACACCCTACGCCCGGCATGTTGTGGCGCAACTCTGCCGGTAGTACCGGCACACCACCTGAACGCTCAACATGCATCCGTGAACTGCGAACAACACCCCCTCCCCACTGCCGAGCCCTAATTCTCGGTGTCTCTACTCCCCTTTTTGCAGCCAACTCTCCCCAACCGCCTTTGCCGGAGAATTGCCACCAGCCTTCAAACTCATACTAAAAGGATATTGCTCAGGTTTTAGGCCAGACACACGAGCATCAAGATAGAATTTATCCGTATGCCCCAACTTTCCACAAAAGTAGCAGAACATATGCAAACGTTCGTAAAGAAAGTTCACCCGTGTCCATGAATTGTCACGCAAAATCATCTTCATGCGCCTCTTTAACGGAGCCGTTACTTCAACCGTGACCTTAACCTTGTAAAATTTCGTCCATGGCCTAACGAAATTCCTTTCATCCAAACGAACAAAAAACCTTAAAAAATCTCCCACCTTCTCCAAAACCTTATCAGTTCGGTAGCCGACTGGGAGGTCATGTACCTGTATCCAATAATCTATTGTATTCAACATTACTTGAGTAGGATGCTCACCAGGGCGCAACGGTTGACATACAAGAGTGGCGTTCTCAAACGCCCAAGGGCCATTCTCCAAAACATACGCCATGTCCGTGTCATGATAGAACGTGAAAAGATAAAGATTCGGTTGCACCTCGGCAACCTGTATCCCCATTAACGGCCTCCAAACGGACGTCATAACCTGCCTCATCACATCAAATTTTACGTTACGGTCGGTCAGAAACCGGCCAACCATCTGCCAATATTGTTGCGCAATACCCTCCGCCACCACCGAGCCGGCCTCCTCCTCAAACCGGACCCCAGCCTCCTCGTCCTCCAGTGTGATCTCCGCACAACTCTGCACAATTTCTTGAACGTCCATAATTTGGCCACCGAACACTGCACACGGGACGTCGACGTTGTAGACCTCTTTCGCAATAATGATCGATCGAAACAGGCGTGAAAACAAGCTGAAAAAGGGGAAAACCCTAGATACCAGGGAGAGAAATAGAAAATCCTAGATACCAGGGAGAGAGATAGAAAACCCTAGATACCAGGGAGAGAGAGTTTTTAATAAACATGTAATATTTAAAAAAAAAAAAATTACTTGCATGCTTTACGTGAAATATTTATTATTATTATTTTTGTTATTTTGATTAATCAGGCTATTATCTTTTTATTTTTATTGATTTTGCAGTTTGATTATATACAAATGCATAATATAATGCCAAATTGAAAAGGCAATGGAGAGTGAAGCTTTCTTATTCAGACATGTGACCATGCTAATAGGGAGGCGTGTGAAACAATGTTGGGAAGATTGGATAGCGTCTTTCATTTCAACTTTGTTTGTTGTCTTCTGTATAATGTTTTATGTGTTTTTAAGAGATTTCGCATAAGTGGTTTTTGAAAACACAGCTGATTGTTTTAAGATTAACATTCAAATATTGCAAAATAAATAATAATATAATTATATTTTGAATATAAAAATTTAATATAATATTGAACTAGTTAAATTTTATTTTTTTTAACATATTCTACGAGTGAGTTGAAATATAACATATAAAATTTGGGCAGTGCCAGTTTAATTAGCCTTGACGGTTAAATTATTTAAGAGAATAAGAGATGAATCCGTCAACTAGACTCCATTGCAATTAAAAACTTGCCTCGATGTGATACACAAGCTTACCATGAAGATGATAAAGGCAAGAAGCCCTAGTCTCAAAACTAGATTGGTTCAATTTACCTCTTTAATTCATGGGCTTGGAAAGCAGGTCCATAAAGTCCAAAATATAATCCAGCAAAATTAGAAAACATGTGTTATCAAAAAGAAAAAAAAAATGAAAAAGTCATGAGTTAAATTATTGCTTACACGCCAAGCACCTTGTCCTCAAATGGCATGTTGTGATCTCTCTCATGTGGGAGGTCATGAGATCGAGTTTCAGTGGAGGCATTGTTGACTCTTTGTGCTTCATTAGGTTGAGGAAGTATGTTTGAACAGATACTACAATGTAATAGAGTCAGTAGCATTAAAAATAAATTATTGCTTACTCCCTCTCAATCAAATTTATCATACATGATCTTTTTAATGCCAATAGGGACGGAGGATTAGTCATATCCAATTCATTTAAAAACTTATCTCTTCATATTGTGCCAGGTAGGCTCCACACAGAAGGTAAGTCATAACAATGTGCAGGTGCAAGCCGACTGGAAATGGATTGGTTTGGTATGAGTGATGATGATATGTTTTCCTATCTTGGGGGACCATAGACAATTTAAAGAGTGCAGGACTCCATTTTTGACCTGATGAGACTGATTAAGACAAATTATTGTCTGGACCATGATTCATATAATTGTATGAACCATGAATATAATGTATATTTTTAATATACTAAAAATATATTATTTTTATATTGGAAGTACATTATTTAATAATATATAAAATAATGTACTTTATTTACATAAATAATGTACTTTTAGTATATTAGAAATGTATTTTTTATGGTTCACATAACTCTATGGACCACGGTTCATGAAATAATGTTTGGACTGATTAATCAAGTTGGTTTAAGTTGGAACATTATCCGATGTCGTGTTGGCTAGGTCCACATGAAGTGGATTCCAATACGATATCTCTTGAGATTTCCTTATCATGTCATAAAAATCCAATGTAGCTCTTAAAATTTTATTTGCTTCGTTCAACATTCAATCCTAAATAAAGGTTGATTTAGATATATGGTGCCCTTTTGTAGCTCTGGGTTGGGGACATTAAGCTCATTTTTGGAAATTTTGAATGCTGTTTGGTGGATGCAGTTCATGGTTAAGGGGATTTTATTGCCTCTTATTTGTATAAAAACACGCATAATGTCCATATATGTAAGGAGTGATTTTCTTATAATTAAGACCGTGACACGGATCCTTATTCGTTAGATGAGTCGGTTTAAGATGAAAAATGTAATACTTATAATGAAAATGTAATACTAATTAAAAATAAATAGTCCGTTCTTTTCCAAAAAAAAAAAAAAAAAAAAAAAAAAAAAAGAAAATAGTCCGTTTATTTTAGGAAGCTGTTTTCTATTTTCTAATTTTTCAATTTTGATAATCTGCTTTCTATTATTTATTTTTTGGTTTAGAAAACTAGCTTATTTACTAGCACTCATTTTTAAGAATTTATTTTATAGACTACTATAGTTATAAATGAGTTAATTCCCAAAATGGTCCTCGGACTATGGTCTTTACTCAAATTGGTTCCTTGACTTTTAATTGCACCCAAAGTGGTCCTCTGACTATTGATTTTATATATAGGGTCCAGATCAGGTGATGACCTAACCTTAGGTGAGAACGTGGGGACTAATCTAGACCATTAAATTAGAATGATGCATGGGTGAAATTAAAAGGAACAAATCACACGGTTAAGAAAAAAAATCTCTTTAAAATATTAAAAAATGTAAATTTAGTGGTAAATCGGTCTTATTAGAAGATGCGCATTACAATACAAAATGACGTGCATTCCTATATTGAGTGTTATGCATCGATAACTTTATAGTTGTGCATTCAAACACCACCAAAAAATTGTAGTGGACATCCCAATGTCCTACGATACACTGAACTATGTGCAATAATGCAAAACTCACTAGCCTACGCTGCACAACTTACAACACTAGGTTGCACAACCAGCACACACGAATGCACAATCATACTACCTAGGCATTTGTACCTATACACGACCATCTAAATATAGGCAATATTATATACTTAGAAGATGGAGTGAAAAAAAAAAATACTGATCACTTTGCATGGGCGAACACCCAATCAATGATCAAGAAATCGCGACTCCAAATTGCAACGGTGATGATCGAAGAAAAGATGAAACCAAATTGACCAAGGAATACACATGCATTCACGCTTAAAAAAAAATAGAAAATGATAATACTGCCCCACTTTAACAAAAAAGATCAATCCATGTCATCTTAGGAAATCAAATATGGGCCATCCAAATTAAAAAAAAAAAAAAAAAAAAAAAACGAACGCACAAGATTAGTCCTCACGTCCTCAACTAATGATATATATATATATATATATATATATATATATATATATATATATATATATATATATATATATATTGTTGGAAATTGGTGAATAAATCGATACACAAAATATATATAATATATAATTGTCCCGAAGAAAGGAATTTAATTTATAGAAAATTAAATCCAACCAACTTTGGTTCAAAACCAAAATCACACACACACACACACACACACACACACACACACACACACACACACATATATATATATATATATATATATATATATATATATATATATATATATATATATATATAAATAGTGTATATTTATTAACCAACTAGGGATTTATTTTATCAAAATAATCCCACCACAACTAGTACGAAACTAGTACACGGGACTTAATTTCCACGAAATTAATCCCACCACAACTAGTACAAAACTAGTACACGGGACTTAATTTCCACGAAATTAATCCCACCACAACTAATACGAAACTAGTACAAGGATTTAATCTTTCCGAGATTAATCCCACCACTTGGTCCGAAACCAAGAACAAAATAAAAGCAAGAACGGGTTTCTAACCTGAGGTTTTAACCCAACGCGAAGAAAGAAAAAGCAGAGGAAGCCCGAGTCGTGTGTACACACACTCTCCTTAAAACCGATTCACCACCTCCCGAGGGTTCTAGGATCGTTGTGGCGTCAGTCTCCCAGGATAAAACGGACTACGACTTTGGCGTTCGAGCACTCCAACTCAAAGCCCGGCGAACTAGAACACAAGCTGAGCACTCCGATATTTTACGGAAGATGTTTGGGAGAATTTCTTTTCTTTTGTAAACTGGATGAGAGTGGAGAGAAAACAAAAGAATTTTGGTTGATTCAAAGCTCGCAACAAAACATTCTACTAACCACCAAGCTATTTGTAGGAGAAGGGAATTAAAGCATATTCATGGCCATTAACCAACATAAATTCAAAGTTTAATAATTGGATAATAACGTTTGAAACGGTCGTATTTATTATCATAATAATACCAACAGTCACAAACTTAATACGCGATTAATTCGTACCGACCATAACGACCCGTTTCAAAATATTTGAGTGATCGAGAAGTTCGTACAAACCCGAAGGTTTAACGAATTGGGACCGGAAACCACACCCGAGTGGTCCGTAAGCACCGAAACGGTGCAGCACGAATCAATGCATTATAGCATTTGACTCGTGCACACCGAATCCACAACACGAAATGAGCTGCTTTGGAATCCAAAGCTTAAGCTCAATTCGTGCACAACTTTCGTCCATGCACAAAGCATAGCACGAAAGTACACTTTCCTAATTCACTAATTAAGCTTTCAAGCTTAATCATTCTTTAAGCTATCAAAGCTTAATCACAACACTTAAGCTTAATCAAGCTTATTTTCTTGCACACCTCGTACAACAAATCAAGCTTAATAATGAATTGCTAATTGAATTAGCAATTAGCTTAAGATTTTGGCTTCTCTCAAATAGGTTCACTTTGAGAATCAATTTCTTATTCACCTATTACTCATTTTGAGCGTACATTATATCTAATTCTTCGTCTCACTATGAAGAACCGCAATCCACTTTGACCCGACCCAAATCGGGAGTGGATCCCACATATATTTGTACCCCAAAATAATCACTCAAAATGTCATTTTTAGCTAAAAATTCCAACAATCTCCCACATGAATGAAAATTGATTTTTGGTACGAGGAAAATGACACGAACGTGCTCAACGGTCGATCCCTGCATAGCATAGGTAGGTGTTACCCTTTGAACCTTGCTTTGTGAAGATATGTTTACTCTACTGGCTGTATGGTAGAACTTGATGTC